ATTTGCTTATAAAATTGGCATACAAACTTCTATTGCGCAGAAGCGAACCTCTTATAAATGGGCATTAAGAATTCTCTTCATGACCACACAAAACGTTTCTAATGCAGTTTTCGTCTTTGCGCTGCCGCTATCACCTTATATGAATTCCTCTGTTTTTTCAGTCATAGAGTAAATAATAGTCGTATATTTATGCAAATGCAATATTTTTGAAATAACATATATTTGCTTATACACATTTTTCTAACAAAAAAGGTCTTTTATAAAAATTTAAAATTTCTAGAATAAGCTTCCCTTGAGTGGGCACCTCTCTTCGGCGGACAAAAGTTTCCTGACGATGAGTGCCCGCTCAAGGGAAGTTTCACTTTATTTACATATGTATGTACTGGCTTGCACAAATGTTGCGCAACATGACATTGGCTTACTTCCAATGCAACACTTCCAGTTGTTTTGAACAGATGGTAAACAAAATATGCTCATACATAAGTGTGTAAAATGTACATATGTACTTGCACATTTATCAATAAGTACCGTGACCCTGTGCAAAAAGAAAGAAATTCTGTTATCACATAAATACATACATATACATATGTAATCACTGTATTCAAGAGAGCTGCTTAAACATTTGAAGAGTTATATTAAAAAAGTTTTAACTCTTGGAAATATCAAGCTTTGGCAGTAAGATATGTATGTACATGCATATGTGGTACGTGCACTTCTATTACAAAGCTTTCGGTTTTTCAAAGAGCCTTACATTGCTGCAAAATGGACTTATTATCAAATGTATTTCACTATGGAAGGGTAGAAAATAAGGAGTCGTCATAACCCTGCAAAAATCGTGGGACCATGTAGTCCATTTGTGGTATATTGGAGTACTTACAAAAGTGTTCCTCTGTCATGCTGTAGAGGACCAACTCGTGTCTCTGCGCCAGCTTATTGCTTGTTACCCGATAACTGCTCGTGTTTTAACGAAATGTGATTGAAGTTGCGCATTTGAACGCACATTTGCATGTCTGGCTGTAGCTGAACGTGTAGAGATGCTCGCTGTTAGTTGTGAGCTCCCAGCATGTTCGGGTTCAAATGCCGTCAGAGGCAACATGTAATTTTTAATTTTTGTCTTGGGTTTTATTAATTTCGAAAAAGCATATGAGAAGTGAAGAACAAAAGCGTGTACAAACGAAAAAGTATAACAACAATGCCATTGTTAATATGTTGGAGTAGTTTTGTGCTACTCTGATGTAATGCAGGGATGGAGTATATGGTCCTGCCCTAGGACATCGCAATGTTAATTGGACCATATTTTTTATATGAATTGTGGTTAATTTTGGAGTATTCCTTGGTCCTTAGGGAGTACTCTTTACACGTATGCATGGAGTAGTCGCGATTTTTGCAGGGAAACTGATCAAACGAGAAATAATCGCATATTAAATTATTCATAACATGCGAAGTTCATAACTGTAATCATTACAGTCATATCTAAATAAACACCTGACATATGTATTTACATACGAAATCCAGTCTTGAGGATTAGATATGGATGCCACCTTTGTGTTTTTTGAGATATAGCTGCATGAACCAACTAAACAGATCACCCAGCACGGCAACTGTGTATTTGTAATTGCATTTGAGAAAAAAAAATAAATAATTGATGACGTCATTTTTTAATCAGTTTCGTTCCTTTTCACACACATGGCGGCGCAAAAATGACGTCATTGCAAAAAAAATTTTTTCTCGCACGCCGTCCTGGATGATCTTATTCGTTCGTTCATGATATAGCTGGTTATTGCATGGCCATTGTCGCATGTTATTTGAATGAAGACAGAAACGAAAAATACATGTTTTCACCATGTCAAATTCAATGGCATTTGTCCTTAAATAAGTGAAAGTACATTTTCAAGTGGGTCTAAAACGATTTTTCGATTTGATTAGGGATCTGAAGTCAGTTTTTCGAAACTGAAAATGGCGGATCCAAAATGGCGGACCATTTTTTTTTAAATGATTGGATATGTTCGAAACCCGGAACTCGAGAGTTTTTGTGGTCGCCGATTACGAATCTGAAGTCAATTTTGTTAAATTCAAAGTGGCGTATCCAATATGGCGATCAAATTTAAAAAAAATACTAAAATTAAAACGGTGATACTGAACGTTTTAAACATTGGCAAGGGTTAAAAAATGTTTCCAGTGGGTTTCTGGGGTTGCTGATTACGAATCTGATGTCAGATTTTCAAAATTCAAAATGGTGGATCCAAAATGGCGACCAACTTTAATAAAATGATTGGATTTGTTTGAAACTCTTAACCGCCATTTAGAATTTTGAAAATCTGACATCAGATTCGTATTCAGCAACCCCAGAAACCCACTGGAAACGTGTTTTAACCCTTGACAATGTTTAAAACGTTCAGTATCAACGTTTTAATTTTAGTACTTTTTTTTAATTTAATCGCCATATTGGATCCGCCATTTTGAATTTAAAAAAATTGACTTCAGATTCATAATCGGCGACCACAAAAACTCTCGCGTTCCGGGTTTCGAACATATCCAATCATTTTTTAAAAAAATGGTCCGCCATTTTGAGTTTCGAAAAACTGACTTCAGATCCCTTATTAGCACCCCCAGAAACCCCCTGGTAACAAGTTCCAACCCATGACAATGCGTAAATCGTTCAGTATCAACGTTTTAATTTTACAAGTGTCTTTTCGAAAGCATATTTTTCGGGAACTAGACCCATTCTAATTGTCCAAGAAAGCTGTGTAATTAAGGCAAAGTTCCCCAATAATACCAGAGTAATTATATGTAAAAACCATATTTTTAGCTGCATTTTAACATGTCAAGAAAATAAAAAAATTGAGAACATCAGCGTTTTTATAAAAAACCGACCAGCGCAACCTCTAAGGAAACTTTTTTTTCAAAATAAGAAAAATACGTGTCTCTTTTTATCACAAATATTCTGATGTAGCGTTTATGAATTTCCAAAAAGAGTGTTTTTATGAACCACTCTAGTATGTACGCATTAACGTTAGAGTTTTGTATAGGGCAGAATGTCATCGTTGAAACGGGGCACACTTATTTTTTTCGTTTTGGTATTTGTAACATCTATACCAACTTTAAAAATTCTACTGTTACCGATACAAGGTGCTCAGTGACCTTGAACCAATTGTTTGGTTAATATTCATATGCACAATATACTTCTATGTATAGTAAAATATAAACATTTGCTGAGCATCCTCTTAATTTAAACGTAAGTGTGGTGCCAGCGCCTCTTTCGGCAAGAGAAAAAATTTTGAAATATGCCCCGAACCCTGTCTCGGAAAAATTCTTTTTGGACCTTTAATGCACATACATATGTACATAAGCGTCGATCTATAAAGTGAAAAGGCGTACCGTTTTTTAATGAGAATATCTCACAAACACGAAAGTCGTCACAATAAAGGCCCGTCCACATAGAACTTTGGCGTTGGCGTCGCTTCAACAGCTGACTATGAATACATGAATTCAAATGCAGACGTCCACATAGCCAAAATTCGACAACGCTCACGCCAACACAAAGCAAAAAGATGGCCAACTCTCAACTTTTCGCGAAATATTTTTCCTTTTTGATCAAGTGCGGGCAAGAAATATCGTTTCTAATGCAATTATTGATATGAAATATTAATTTATCTGTCGTTAATATGTTAATTTAGTGGTCCAAGGATTCGCTGCCAAGCGTTCATTGTAGCAAGCATACTTTTAACGTGCGTTCTGTCAAACCAACGCCAACGCCAAAGCCAACGCGAAAGTTCTATGTGGACCGGCCTTAAAGGCGGGAACTAAGTTACATACTTTTTAGTGGGCAAAGGCAACCGTATGTATTTCTATGAGAAGTTGCTTTTCATGACAGAAATACACTCGGATGTTTACCATTGCCTGCCGCCGCTATTAAAAAAAAAATGTTTTATTTTATTCTGTGGAGTGATAGTGCGTGCCCCTATCACTTTCAGACCCGGGCTAAAACTTTTTTGATGGCATATTATTGTTGGTTGAAACTTTAATATTAACTGGTATAAATTTTAAATGTATATGTCTTCTTGTTTTGCCGTAATGAAATGTTGCTTGTAAATGTTTACAAAGTTTCCTACACTGATAAAAGGGTTTAGTTACTTCAACTAAATATGTTTTTCTCAACTCATGACTTGGTTATTGTTACATTATTTGGTCATAGTTATCAAATCATGTGTTGAAAGGAATATATTTCGCCGACTTTTCTCTGAGTGTAGCAAAAACCAAGAATAATTTTAAAGGTATGATGTTTTTATTTCATTTTCTTTAATACATTTTATAACCTAAACCCTTTTGTTTAAAAAAATATGCTTTATTTTGGTATTTTTTTAATGTTGCATAGCCACTTTTAGCAACATTTTAAAGGTTTTGTTGCGCACAAGTCACAACGAAAATACGCTGAAAACGAGTTGGTTCCTTTTATGATCAAAACAACTCATAAGGTACCTAAAGAGAAAATAACGCATAATCCATTCATATGGTTCACACTTGCGTAATTCACACACAAAAGAGTATATAGCAGTTTGAACCAACCCGCACAATTGATGCATCAGGGTCTGAAAAGGCTGCACGGCTTGAAGGCCTGAAACCGTAACCATACTCAATCATACCACCAGTTCTTTCAACCATCCAGCAACATTGTTTATTTGGCTCGGCAACATTAACACCTCACTTAACCAACACCTCCACTTTCCTATCATTCGGCAACATTGAAAAATATGTACTTCCAACTAGAATTCATTTCCTCGGCAATTCATCATCTTTTCCAGAGTTCGGCAACATTCGTGCTTGTTGCCGTTGGGTCTCCTAGGTGTGTGTGTAAGCGTGTTTGCATGTGTTTACTTTGCCTTTGCCTTTGCCATGTTGCCGACGTCGAAATGGTAGCGCGCGCCATTGGCAACATGCGAAATAGATTTATTGGAATGTATACGAGCAGTGCTCATTGTGGATTCATTGTTAGCGCGCTGGTTTAGTTGTTGTTGTGTGAACGTGCAAAATAGATGTGCGCTTAGCCGAGTGGTAGGCAGGCAGCAAGTAGTAAGCACTAACAGAAAGGCAACAGGAATAAGCAGCGAGGCAACAAAACACTAAAACATTGAATGGCAGCTCTTCGTGGACGGCGTGCGTTTGTTCTGTTTTGTTGCGTTTTTGTGCTGTGCGCCGCGAGTCCGATTATTGAGTCTGCCGCTGCCGCGTTAAACGGGCGCTCGTATTTTCGTATTGTGTTTGCATGACGATGTATAGTGCGAGTACTTCAGTGATTCCACGCGCTTTATATTTTATTCGTATGAAGATTTGCTTTCGATGTTTTAAACAAAATCCATAAAACAGCGAATGTGCTTGAAAAAAAGAAAAACTGTCATCAAATAGGATGTATGCGATTTTATGTGATTTCATTTGCTAAAAAAGTAACTCGCACGTGTTTAGTGCGAATTAAGGACAAAATTTTATCCTTAAATTTGCGCAGAGAAAGAAAACGCGCGCTAAATCAAACAAGTAAAAAATATATATTTTTAATGCAAGATACATATGAGGCGCGCGGTGGCATTAAAAGGCGAAAATGACATGGAAAATACGTAGAAAATTTCGTTTTGCCTGATATTTGTAGCGCGAGTTCGTTACCGCTGTCATCATCCCCTCTGTTAGCAAGAAAACTGTCTACTTTTATTTGCTTCACGTGCTTTGCGTATTTTGTGGGGCCAAGTTTTTTGCTGTCATTGGCGTGGCGGAGGAAAACAATCAGCAAGTTAGACAAGCAATGCTGCAAGTGACAACGGATTAAAAAAAGAAAAACAATAACTAAAATAACGCAAAAAAGAAACACTATATTTATAGTGACAACAAATTGTACGTACAGCACGCAATAGTGAATTTGGTGGATTTGCGGAGTGCTTAAGACTTTGAAGTTTCAACAAACAAATAAATAAATACAAATAACCACATTCCATAGAAACAAAGAACATCAAGTTCAAAAATTCCAATTCATTTTACGCAAGCGACAATCGTCGCACCAGCAGATTAAAAGCTTTTAACGAATGCTGCTGGCCGCCGATGATGGCGTCAATCTTATCAGTAGAATAGCATTGAACTTTTCATCCCAGCGCCACTTCGCCGTCTCGTCAGACTGTTCAGCGGAAAAGGGCATTAATGTCACAAGTTCTCGATTCGGCTGCTGCCAAAATTTTATAGACAATGAGCAAAAGTACCACAGCGGTATCAGTACCTACCCAACTTAACTGATAAGAGTTCGGAAACCAAAGGAACGCGTACACATAAAGAACATTGCGCGTGTGACTTCGGCTTTTTCAGTTTTGGGTGTGTGATTTAATCTTCAGCCCCTTCGCCTCAATCATTTTGTAATAAAGTGCACCAAAGCTAGAAGCGAATAGTCAATTAACCAACCAGCCTAAACAAATGCGAAATTGCATCAGAAAATTAGCAGCTGACAAGCAAACATTTTCGTTTATGGGTAGAAAAAGGAAATTCACCCGCCATCCTCATCAAAATTTCGAATATTTATGTTTGCCTCATAGCTTTGTGCTTTCGTTCCCTTGGTACTTTGTCCTTGTGTGCATACAAATCGCCTTTGTGTTTTCCTTGATTTTGCTGCAACATTTGATTTTACTGTTCTATTGCTTAAACGCGCTCAACAAATTCAAAACTTCGATATCTGTGACATTTAGTATACAAATTTGGATCCGGCGGTACATTGTGATCTAATATTTCGAAAACACACAAAGTCTATCGTCGATTTGTAATGAACAACATATATGCATTTTAATTAAATCCAAAGAATGTTTCGTAGTGAATACGAATAAAACCAATAATACATATGTGTGCACTAAGTGTATTCTCAAATGATGTTTGTACAGTGTGTATTTGCATGCTAATGGAACAAGGCTAAAACGTGATTGAAAAATTCAAGAAGAAATTGTGATATTGTATTTAAGCGTAAAAACCTGCGAATCGATCTACATGTAAATAAACTAGTTTTAAGATCAAATCTACTTGTCGAT